TTTTCGGACGCATGGTTTTTTTCAGTTTTTGGTTCAAAACTTCGCGTGGATCAAAGCTGGTGTAGATATTTGAGCACTGTCTTGTAGAGCTAGGTTTGCGCTATCTAAGGATGTATCGAATCCCACTTGGGGTATAGGATTATCCCAAGTTATTGCGGTCTGTACCTATTTTGGTGCAGGAATTATGCATCAACCTAATAAAATAAGTCTAGCGGCTCCAGATTTTTGAGGACTGACCCAAGTTTATCAAGAGCTAAAATAATCCATAAAAAGTATCACTTCTTTTGGAGACAACTCACAATCTTTTCCTTTATTCTGTTTTCTTCCTGACTTTTTTGCAGATGTGATTTCTATAAGTGGTCTAATGCTAGTGTTTGCAGTAGAGGACTGGCTTGACTAAATGGACTCGTAATCGTGTTTATGGCATTAGCATTGTTTATCGTGGTTCCAACCGTTTCAGTAACTTCCACAATCTGCGTCTCTTCAGTAACGTCGATGATTTATCGACATTACAAAAACGTTCGCTGAGATAAAAGAAGATTTTTCAAACTGTTTGCAGAACTTTTCATCTTCTAAACCAACCCTTGATCGGCTCCGGCGTCGATAAAGCTCATTTGCTTATAAAAAGGCCAACTCGCCGTTTTTTCGAGAATACCAGATTCTGCGCCGCTCTTGCGGCGCAGAACGTCAGAATACTCACGGTGTTTTCGGACATAAACGTCTCGTAGGTTATTGAAAGCCTTTTGCAAAGGTTCAGCTCAAAAAGACGCCTTCAAATCTCGTAGGATTAGTAGATTGAACTTACCTCCAAAATTTTTACCAAATTCTACCTGCATCTCATCTGCTACATGTCTCCAGGCTGCCGCTCTTGCTTGCGGATTCTTGTAGCTTTGCAGTTGTTCATCCCAGATAGTGGGATTTTGTTGAACTATGTCCACGAGGGCATGCTTTTCCATGTCTGACAAGCGATATACAGACGTATCAAACGATCTTTTCATCTGAAAAGCCAACACCACGCTTTTTTTTTTGATAATCCTTTTTCGTGCTATTAGAGCACAAAAAGGAGGGCACCGAAGCTCACCTCGAGCTTAATCGCTGATGACTGCTTTCAAATAAAGAAAACTAGTAGTTTCCAACTTCAAAGTGCTATTTATATCATGATGTGTTATCACGTGGCGCTGGTAAGAAAAGCATTAACATGCTTTATCCTCACACGTCACAAACTTGCAAGGATTCTGATATAGAATCCTTCATCTGATAACGTTAAGGGTGTATCGTATGTATATTATAGTATATAGGACTCCAATACGGAGTTAGACATGGTCCCTGCCCCCGTCGACGTCCACATGAAGAGCATCTATAGCATCTACCCTACTGTATAGTGTATTGCCGCGCTCATTCGCTCGATTGAGTTCGATCAAAGTGCATTGAGGTTCGTTGATGGCCGACCATTCTTTTGGTCGACATCGCCCCCTTCGCTGGAAACCCCGCCCCTTCCGCCGATCTCTGAAAGCCTGTTTTCATGCACGAAGTGCATGAAAGAGGTCCTAAATGGCCGCGGAACCTCCGTGGACTTCAAATTTTGGCCAGTCCCACTGAAGGCAAGCCCCACCCACCTAGTGGCTAGCTCCGCCTACTCGGTCAGAATGGCCACGCTCTGATAAGATATAGTTTGGTATCGAATCCTTTATCCTTTCTACTTATCTTTACTTGAAAGTCCTTGTCGATTGAGCTCTAAGAGGACTTCAGTGCCTTTGCGTTTTTCCTTTATTGGCACAAAGACTACATGCATCAGAAAAGCAGCTTGATGTTGGCTTCGGAGTTGAAGAGATCTTTTGACACATCTGTTAATCGCCTATCACAAAATGAGGAACATTTCCTAGTTGACATCGTTAGACAAAATCCTACAAATTGGGACGAACAACAAGCGAGCTACAAGAGCCTTCAAGCGAGAATGCAACATGGTGACATGTGGCACAAGAAATGGAATCGAACTCGATGAAAAACTGAGGAAGTTCTAATGCAATGATCGAATATGTCTTAAGCTGAGACTCTCAAATCAGAAACTTGGGAGACGCTTATATGAGGAAGCGGCGTGACGCACTCCGATGCAAAAAAGGGGCAGAATCGGGCATCTTATAGACGTTAGCTAGTTGGCCGTTTTACAGAAAACTCAGCTTTATAGAAGCTCGAAGAGATCAGGTGTTGGTTTACGAAGTGAACAGCTTTGCTAAACAGCTCAAAATTATTATTCTGTCTCAGCGAGCGTTTTTGCAACGTCGATTCTGGTAAGATCGAAAATCTTGATGTCACTGAAGACAAGCGGGTTGTAGAAATTGTCATGATTCAATCATTCATTCATCGATCAATCATTCAAAAGCATGTTAACATGCTTTTCTTACCAGCGCCACGTGATAACACATTATGATTTAAATAGCACTTTTAAGTTGGAAACTTTTACTTTTCTTTATTTGAAAGCAGCCGTCGGCATTTGAGCCCGAGGTGGGCTTCTTTTCGTGCTCTATTAGCACAAAAGAGATTACCATCAAAAAAGGCGGCTTGGTGCTTGCTTTGCAGATGAAAAGATCGTTTCATACATCTGCCTATCGCCTGTCAGACAGCGACCAGCAACAGCAGGCCCTCATTGACATTGTTTTACAGATTCTATTATCTGCAACGAACCGCAGGCACGCTACAAGAACCAACAAGCAAGAGCGGCAACTTGGCGACATGTTGCAGATGAAATGCAGATAGAATTTGGAAAAAAAACTTCGGAGGTGAGTTCGATCCCCTAATGCGACAAGATTCGAAGGTGCTTTTTGAGCTGAAGCTTTGCAAAAGGCTTTCAAGAACCTACGGGACGTTTACATGCGAAAATGCCGTGAGTATTCTAACGTTCTGCGTCGCAACAGGGCGCAGAATTTGATATTCTCTAAAAAAAAACGGATTGATCTTTTTGAAATCAACTGATTTTTATCAACGCAGGAACAGATCAAGGATTAGTTTACAAGATGAAAAGCACTGCAGACAGTACAAAAACTCTTCTTCTATCTTAACGAACGTTTTTGCAATGCCGATTTTGAAGATACCGAAATTCTTGACGTTATTGAAGACACACAGGTTGTGGAACCTACTGAAACGGTTGGAATTTTGATAAATAATACTAATAAACGCGATTACGAGTTATTCAGTCCAGCCAATCCTCTAAACAGTAGTATTCGACCATTCACGGAAATCACAGTTGCAAAAAGGCAGGAAGAAAACAAAATAAAGGAAAAGATTGTGAGCGGTCTCAAAAAGGTGTGTCACTTTCTATGAAATCTAATTTAGTTCTTGATAAACTTGGCACAATGCTCAAAAGCCTAGAGGAGCCAGACAGATTTGAATCGTTTGGTTCGTTTCGCTTGTATGCTAATACTAAGACTTTACTAATAATAACTTAGGTCAACTGCTGTCGAGTACACTTCGTGAACTTAACTCGCTAAACGCTACCAAAGCTGATGAGTTTGCCTTGAAAGTTATTGAACAAAGGCAGAAAAAAGGCAAAACAGGCCGGATTGTGGGTGCTTTCAAAAAGCGTATGATGTTTTCTATGATATAGCGAGACAGATTCAATTCATTTGGTCCGTTCGCTTGTATCCTCTTATTGTTAGAAACTTTTGATACCACCTACCACCAGGGTTGACGAGTTTTTTTTGAATGTTATCGAGCTGCAGAACCAAAATTGTCAAGCGATATAGGAAATCAGAATGGCCAGAAGATAGTTTGATTATTTGTTTTGTTGATTTTTTGTTTATTTGTTCTGTTTTGTTGCTCCTTCCTGTTTTTTGGCACAATGCGCTTCATAGTCTACTGGTTTCTTCCCCCACATTTTCATGATTCAAATGTGGGTTTCCTCTATTGATGTATACAAAAATTATTCTCCGCAACCGCGAAAGATTTTCTTTTGTGCTGAATTAGACAATTATCGACTAGTTCTTTGAAATGGCTCCTTTGAGTAAAGCAATAATACAAATTCTACATCTGATGATACAATGGTAATTACAGAGTATTAGTAATTCAGTGAAGAATTTTCATGATAGTATGAAAGAAAAATTGATCTTGACCTTATAGAAATACCAGTCATTCGAGCAGTAGTGTGTTTATTGATAACGAAAAAAATATCGAAAGAAGGAGCGTCGCCTTGTGCGGTATGCAGTTGCAGTGTTTGTGTTATTCCGATTTCGACTGAAGATTGAATTTTTCAGCAAAAGTATCTGTTCACATGGTGCAAGTGCTATAGATGTCATCGAAACATTTTCTCACCAGACATCTGGATACTTTATATGAATTCGAACCACCTTCGCAGAGTGGGCCTTAAATTCGCGGCATTCTCTGGTTATTACCAGAGTGAAGATGAATCTATGTTTCACGAATACCAAGACTGACACATGCCGAAAAAAGAAACATTATACAGTTGTATGGAGGACTAAACCAGTCTGTGTGGAGGACTGAACTATACGAAAAAAACACTGATATCCCATACACACGATATAGACGAGCGGTCTGCTTACTGTTGGAACTGTTTTGTCTATTATTATACGCAAACAATAACGATTTGATACCTTGGGCACGGAAGGTCACCACACGCATGTGCCCATGAGTTCCAAGTAGGAAGGACGGCGGTAGCTAGAATCATATAAAAAGTTTGCCAGGCAGTTGTGTCAAATACTTCTTATTACTGTCGTCTACTCAGTACATTCATGCAACTTAAGAATTTTTGAGAGAGGCAATCCCTACGGCAATTCCTAAACCGACACGGGAAGACTGGAAGCGCTGACGGATTCAATAGTATGTGGGGTACCCACGAAAAATTGGTGTTATTGATAGAAAACGTTTTAAATGCATGGTTGAACCTCAAATCGTATTCTATCAGACTTTTAAAAAGTGGGGAATAATACAGGCCCCTGGCAATACGCAGCACGTATTTTGAATTCAAAGGCACATTTTCGTTAATATTATTAATCGTTGTTGACAGCAATTACCAAATCCTCCTCACTGATTGCGGGGGAAAGGGGAACAATTCGGACTCGGCTAAACATACAGAGCAATTATTAACACATTTTACGACATCAGGGTTGTACGTCTCCTGACAGAGTTCCTGAAAGGTTCTAAAAAACCTGTCCCACTAGGCAATGAAGGTATCGTTGAATATCACATACTCGCCGACGGAGGGTTCGGATAAAATACTTGTATAATTCGGCCATATCATCGGGTGAAGCACTAAAGCCAGATAAAAGCACACTTTGATGAGTGCTTACTTAGTAAGTTGTGAACGGTTTATCATCATCTGCCTTCAATTACAACACTTGACTTGAGGTGGAAAACGTATTCGGAATTTCGGAATTATTCGTTTTCGAGTTTCAGCCCCCCTCCCCCTCCATGGGACACCCGAACACATGAAACTGCTAATAGAAACAGCATGTGCAATTCTTCTAACTTTGATGATCATGTGGAAGGTAAATCGTATTTAGGTGCCACATAACCGGTTGGCGCGAGGCCTTTGCCGTGAAGAACCAACGAGAAGATATCCCCCGGAGAGCCCGAATGTAGAAAAAGAAATTTCCCGTAGATGAGTGTTCCTTATGTCGGCACTGCACATGTACAGCGAGATAGACTTGCAACTTTTTTTGCGCATGGGGACGGTTGCTTTGAGATAAGTTTGTTCGATATCAAGCTTGTGGTATATTTTGTTGAATTTGATTTTGTAATTGTTGGTTGTTTAGTACTGCATAAACCTTGGTGAGAGCTTGCGGGTTGTTTGTTTTGCAAAGACAACACAAATGGTATCAGACAATGACCAAGAGCGACCTAAAGTGTGTAATCATACTCGAAATATGCAGTCATTCAAACTCAGTGACTTGCTCATTCCCTACTGAGATTGGACAACTCTGCGATGCAATAAATATCACATTATCAATAGTGTGTAGACATGTGGAAAAATAAACCAAAAAAGTTCAAGAAAAAACAAACGAAAAAGTGAAAATGAAGAAAAAACGATCAACAGTGACATTCCTACAAATGAAACGTTTTTTTTTTGAGAGTATATTCTTAATTCATAAACCATGAACCTCTCCGAATGACTTGCATCAGCCTGTCTTTCCTCGTTCTCCTAAAAACTTGAAGTTGCGCAGCTGCAACAATGTTTGTTGTATGTTTTATAGTAATTGGCTTAGATAAGATATTGGTTGTATTAGCCTCAGTCTGGGTGGACGTTTTGAGATGCATACCTTTTAATTCAACTGACTTGGCGCATGGAAGGCGGGGGGGGGGGGGTTCTTGATCTTATTAAGGCTGGGTATTGATCAGAGAGCACGCGCGCGGGAGAACGCAGACTGTATCTCTCCCACGTGCGTGCTCTCTGGTAATTAGGTCAAGAAGCCCCGTTCCTGCGCCAAATCAGTTGAATCAAAGGGTACAGTTATACGATGTTAAAATAACCTATATAACCTACAGATCTTTGAAAGCAAAATCGCTCCATCAAGGTAGTGGCAGCTCTGCTTTGTCTCACCTCCTCAACCATAAATGACATTTCTTCGTTGAATGACTCACGATCTTCAGTATTCATGATGTCTGGATTAGCGTTGCAGGAACTGGAAGAATTACATTGGAATCTAACGTGCTTATTAGCTATCAAGAGTTGCCTAAATATTATACTCCTGTGCCATTGATTTTTATATCAAGTCCGTCTTTTCGATGGCACAGTTCAGAGCAATTTGTATAGTTGTCCTGGCATCAACCAAAGATGAACTCAGTCAAAAAACACGTAAAATTATAACGGTTTTCCCGAAGAGAGATTTCTCTGACAGCCAATGATACTGGAGGGAAAAGTAATGCGAAAATCTCTACATGAGCAATTATTGGTAAGACTTTGTAAGATACATCTGACTTTGAAAGTCTGGATGTTTTATCAATAAGCGCCAAAATACCTCGCACATAATAATTCCCTGCATACAAGCGTATGCATACGCCAAATGAGCGGGCAACGAAGTGGGGATGACCAACACTCTAATCACTTCTCCTCGATCAAATGCAAACGAGCCAGAAATTGACAGATAAATGAAAACAAATAATCACTTTTTGTCAGTTAGCTGGCTCCAAGCATTGTATTTACACTATAATGCACATTCAGTTTGTAGGAGCCGGGTCGCAACACATTTTAGAAGGAAAACAACGTGCTAACTTCTTCTCCTTTACCGAATTCACTGCAACGACCAATGTGTAGGCCCTTTATGCGTTCAGGATGAAGCTCAACGCTGAAAATGGGAAACCTTATCAGTTCAAAAGTGATGCAAAGTAAGAACAGAAAATCTACACCAAGGCTCCCGCTTATGCGCACTACCGTCGTTGTCTTATCAATCATCATGAGTCATGACCGGTTGTGTCCACGATTATCGTCCTCAACGATGATCGTAACTCATAAGCATTGGCCACAAGTTACCGGCAACTGCTGCCGGGATGGTCGGGTTGTCGAGGTCGGCGAGTGCTAGAGAGCGCTTAACACGCAGAGTGTACTATGAGGTCTACAACGATTGGCAACCTCCGCAACATCGAAAACGTCGGAAACCTTGACCACTCTAAAACAGTTGATACGGCAACGCGCTGTTTCTCAGTAACTCGGAGAAAGTCACCCTACAGCTTGTACCTTCGAGTCATTGACCGCACGGTCTGTGCAAACGTTGGGACCACTTGCGGTAAGACTAAAATTGGCGACAGCACGAGTGGTATCTTGACAAGTCTTGCTAGGGAAAGCGTTTTACCTCGTCGCGTGCTCCTCACTGATGTCCATCCGTGCAGTCAATGACTAGACTATACGTCTTTGTAGCAGCTGTTCTTTCTAGCAGCTGATGACCCAGATAGAAACGAAAGATGGGCTTCATTTCTGTTTGAAACAGATGGGACAATCAGCAAGAACGCAGCACTTTTCTAGAGCGCTACCTATTAGAAATGAAGCGACCATCGCCTTCGCCTTTTGAAATAAAACGGTGAATGGGATGACTTAGGCTCTGGCCACACTTCGCTCAAAAGCGCCCAAAAGCGGTCAAAAGCGCCCAAATTTCTCTGACCTCTCCACACTCTCTCTCATCTCTCCTCACACGAGAATGAAGAGACATGAGAAATTTGGCGCTTTTGAGCGAAGCGTGGCCAGGGCCATATTGTCGTGATTCTCACGATGTAAGGAAGGCGGGCCCCGCTGACGGTATAAAAGGAAGAGAAGCGGACGAGGGAGCAGCTCGTGAGATATCCAATGCTTTTAACGAACCTTACACTTGGCCAATAAACTTCAATCAATAAATGTTAGAACCCGGTTGTTGTTGGCCAAGACATGGTGCATCGGCCGGGTTCATAAACAAATCAATTCGAAAACAAACCGCGAAGAATTGTCAAGTACTTCCTCTCTTCTCTTACTGTTCTCTTTTTCTTTCCTTTTTTCTTTCTTATTGCGACCGAAATGTTGTGAAGCCTGATCACCTTCACCGCAGATAATCTTTTACCCGTATTCTACTTTCCTCTATCGCGCTACAAAGCTAAAATCATCAAATCAAGGAGCCTCCATCAAAAACAAACCAAAAAGGCAAATAATTGTCTAGGGCAGGCAACCTGAAATAACTGCCTAGGGAAGACAACCCGAAATAATTGTCTAGGGCAGGCAACCTGAAATAACTGCCATGTAGGATATCCGCAACTTTCACTGATGTTGAATTTATTCCCATAACAAGTTTTACAAATTGTAGGAGAACTCTATCTGTATCTGGTCTTTAGCAAAGGCAAAGACGCCAACGACGCGTTGAGGTATGCATTAGTCATCAAGTTCTCAAAACAAAGCGAATTTTAAAGCAAAAGAATGAAATAACGACACAAAATGTTTATTGGTTCGGCATGAGAAACAAAACAAATGCGCGCTATCAACCTCCGCTATCTAACCAAACACAACACTACATATATAAAGGGATGAACACATCCTCTTGAGCATTTGAGATATCTTCTTCCTCTATCGTACCTGAAAATGACTTCTGAGTTCAACATAAAATCTTGCAAGCAACGTTTGACCAGGCAACTCAATGAGCTTGCCAACATGATCGATGAAGCAAATACTTTCAAAGAACCTTGGCAATACCCAACCAATGCTGACGACATACTTCAATTCATACTAGCAAACACAGCAATATTGAGAAACCTAATAAATCAGATGAAAACAAAGGAAGACCAAATCATGGCTGAATATAGCAATCAAGCTCGTGCTCTGGAAGCCTTCAAGTCAATTAACACAGAATATGGAGAGAATCTTGAAAAAGAGTTCGATTCTTATTGGGAAAACAAAAGGGCAGACGAAAGCCTGGACATCAGTGTCTCAACTCGTCGAAAATTGGAGACTAGAATCGTGGAATTAGAGTGCCAACAGCAGGCACTAGAGGCCTCATCAATGCGAAAACAGAGTTCAAAACCATCAATACAAGAAACAACTCAGCGTTGTACTTCACTTTTCCAAGCCATGGAAGATCATCAACAAAAGGGAATCAATCAGACACTTTCACAAAGCAATCAAACAACTGCTGGTATAACGACCAACCGGGAAGACCGACCGACCTACTCCCATTCTTGGCGTTATCTCTATGGCCATGAATCACGAGTAGTGACTCCGGCCTCTTCGTCTTAACAGATTCTGTTCAGCCAAGGGTCGCAAGTTCGGCCATATTTCAGAGCTTTAGCCTTTGGAACGTCATCTTTCGGTCGCCGGAGTGTCGTGATTCTCACGATGTAAGGAAGGCGGGCCCCGCTGACGGTATAAAAGGAAGAGAAGCGGACGAGGGAGCAGCTCGTGAGATATCCAATGCTTTTAACAAACCTTACACTTGGCCAATAAACTTCAATCAATAAATGTTAGAACCCGGTTGTTGTTGGCCAAGACACATATATAACCTGGACATTTTGAACTGAAGTCCTTTAAGGACAGGTCCACCTTGTAGACGAAGTAAACCAGAAAAAAAAAGACGCAATCTTAGGGACCCGTCATACTTCGCCGAAAAAAGCCCAAAGAAACCCGAAAAAGCCCAAAAAGCCCCCAAAAGCGCCAGAAAGAGCCGGAACACTTCTCGCAGTTTTGGCGCTAAGGCACGTGTGTTGACTTCGCAATCGAGCCTTTTTGTCATTTTCTGTCGTCCGCATGATAAGATAATGTCAGAATTCTACCAAAAGTTCGTTTCTACATTTCGGCTCTTTCTGGCGCTTTTGGGCTTTTTTGGGCTTTTTCGGGCTTTTTTGGGCGGTTTTGGGCTGTCTTCGGTGAAGTATGACGGGTCCCTTATTGTTAGAAAGCTTGAAAAAAGCGAATATTTTGTATTAGTGAAATACCTTCTTTCTTGTATAGTAGTCCCAGGTACGACTTCGAGCGTGCCTCTTTCCACTAAACATTGACTCTGATTGTTCTCCATACCACAAACACAGCGACAATGGCAGCACACCAGCACTAGAAACTTTAGGATTCTGAAGTTTTTCTAAAAAGAGGCTATCTCAAATATAATTACACTTTCAAAAGTATCAAAATCGAAAATGATGTTGCCGAACTAGCGAAAATCATTTAATCATCTTATATATAAAGCTGAATGTCTGTTTGTATGTCTGTATGTCTGTCTGTTTGTCTTATGTATGTATGTACGTATGTTCCGAATGGAATTTTTTATTGGGCTGGAAACTAAGTTTTGCAACTGGTTTCATAACTTCACTCTCTTTGGATATGACGCGCTCAAAATTTGGCATCATGTAGAAGACAATGTGAGCTACAAGTTAGCACAAATTGTCTAAATTTTGAACACGAAATAAAGAAGTTTTAGGCGTTTTTCGAAAACTAGTGAAATTTGAGAATTTTTGGGGTTTCAAACTAAAATGAAGCCTTTGGCAGCCTAGACCATGCCCAGTAAGCCGGACTCGTATGCAAATTATTGCTGGAGGTTGACTCCTTTGGCCACTAAAGTGTCCGAAGCTCAAATTCCGCCGAGACTTTACATAGTAAGGTTATTTGACCTGGCAAACGCGAATATCACATTCATTTGTTGAATCAACGCCTTTTTCCTTGTTTAGGGTTGAACCCCATATCGTACACCTACTGTAATCTTACAAAAAAGCCCTTATCACGCAATTTCACTATCGTTTTCGTGATCACTATGTCGGATAACACCCCTATGCCAAGTTTCAGCCAAATCCGTCAAACTTCGAATTTTTCCCCTTTATACCATGCACCTACCGTAACCCTCACTGCGACGTCAGAATTTGCTAGGACAGCAGCTGCGCTTGTAGCTTATGTAGTAACCAACGCAGTGGCAAAATTTGAGTGCGCCATGTTGAGAGAGAGGGAAGTTATGAGACAAGTTGCAAAACTTAGTTTCCAACCTAATATTTCTGAACTGTTCCGGACCAAACTTGGCACATATACTTTTCGGGGCCGGGCGGGTGTCATAGGTTACTTTTCGTCATCGATCGATATCGATTTTATCGTTTTTTATCGATTTTTTGCAGAGTTCACCTACGGGGGTGGGAGTTGGCACAGAGGGGGGTAATCGAGCATGGGTATTCCGAATACAATATTAGTTTTCAGGATTATCGATTACTTTTATCGATTCAATCGATTTTTTTGCAGAGTTCACCTACTGGGCTGGGAGTTGGCATAGGGGGGGGGGGTAGCATGCTAATTACGAATACGGTATTAGTTTTTGGAATTATCCATTAGTTTTATCGATTTTATCGATTTTTTTGTAAAGTTTGACCTGAGAGGCTGGGAGTTTGCGCAGGGGGGTAATCGAGCATGCTGATTACGAATACAATATTAGTTTCCAACATCGTCCATTACTTTTATCGATTTTATCGGGTTTTTTTTGCAAAGTTTGACTTGCGGGCTGGGAGTTTGCACAGGGGGGGGGATAATCGAGCATATTGATTACGAATATACAATATTAGTTTTCAAGATCGTCCACTACTTTTATCGATTTTATCGATTATTTGCAAAGTTTGAGCAACGGGGCTGGGAGTTGGCACAGGGGGGTAATCGAGCATGCTGATTACTAAAACAGCGGAAGTATTGATTTGGCATGTAGGCTTGGGCACAGGGAAAGGTTCGTACAAGGATAGGGATAGTGTTACTTTGATTAGTGTTTTGACAGGGCCGGGCGGGCGGAGCCGAGTAAGCCAGCTGGTAGATTATATAAACTACCTGAGCCTGCATCTTCTTTTGCTCTCTGATTTCCTTGGTCAACCTTGATATGCTAGCCAGGGCTGGTACATCGGCTGAAGTTGCGACAATAACATTACAATACATCGACATAATTATACAATTACAGTACAATACATCAACAATACATCGACAAATTGCGACAGTTCAGTAATACCTGTAAGTGTCTTGAGACGTGTATTATGTGCTCATTTGTGAGGATGCACGAATCGCCGAGGAAGTATGCCCATGGCCGAGTAGCTAGCGATGTAGTCGCAGCGATTTCATCGCCACCTTCACCAAGTCGCGACGATCGGAAATCGTGACGATGAAATCGCGTGATGTATGCCCGGCCCTTAATTAGAATGAGCACATCGAATAAGCAATGAGCACATCGAATAAGTACATCAAAATTCCTTGAAAATCAGTGCACCCTACATTATCCCTAGCGTATTTCTGCAATACACAAAATGTTAATACGATATATAAATATATATAACCCACCACCATATCCTACCGCCTTCAAACAGGCTAGGCTAATGATTTTCTGTGCATTTCTTAACATTCATTTCAATTTTCATCAAGTTAAATTAAAAAATCATGCGCTGAATTTGTTCGCCTTGCACGGCAGATTTTCTTTGAAGGAGCATTGCTTTTTTCAATGTGTTCACTCCGTACTTAAGAGAACAAACTGTCAGCTACTTTGTGCAAATAGTCATATTCGCGACTTGCTCGTAATGTTTGCGAGATTTATCCTGCGCATGTTTCCGAGACTTCCATAGATGCTGATAGGGTTTTATATCAGACTCCACCAAATCTCAAGCAAGCAAAGTTGTACTTGTCTACACATTGCAATCTGGAGAGAAACCAAATTCGACCTCTTTGGCTTTGAGAGACTGAACGTGCTCTCGCGCCTTCAATAAAACCGTCGGAATTGAAGTGAGCGTAAAATAACTGCTAATTCTGTCGCAGATTTGTTGGAGTTGTGGTGTAAAAGCGCAATCGCTACACTGAAAGGCAGTCCCCCAAGCAGATCTGGTCAGATAATGCGTTCACTTAGCAACTGATTGAGTTACCTTACTATTTCAGACTGCGCAAGCTATAACAGCTCAATCACTTTCCGCATGAAAAACCTATGTGTATACTGCCTAGACGCTGCTTTCGACGAATCTCGCGAAAAACCCGATATTGAGTGATTTGGGCTGTTCTGTTAAGACGGCCTTTCATCTAGCACAGTATCCATGACGATAAAAGAGGGAGTGTGGCATATTTCTGCATGACTGAAGAAAAGATCAAATGAGTGAACCTTCAATGTTTGAACAATAGGACATCTGCTGAAATGCTTTACACTTGAGAACTTACATCAAATGAGATTTCCTAAGTCGTATTTACTGTTGGAGCGGAGTAGTAACTAGTGAGATTTTTTCCTTCTTCTAAAAATTTTGTTAATTTTCAACTTGGATTCAGTTTTCAGTGCCGCACAAAGTACCGATATCAGATACAATGCTGCGTTTAACTGTTTTCTAATGACTCTCCAAGATTCTGAAGGAGCAACTATGTATACGTCCCCGGCAAACAACGCCCATCGTATCCTGCACTTCGCTAACTGCTGCAAATGCACCATCGATCAGCAAATTGCACTATCTAAGCATTCCCCCAAGGAAGTATGGAAAACTGGTTTCTTACAGTATACCTATCATATTTCGTATCTAATACATCAAAAGATGCGCTCCGCCGAGCTGAGTTGAACGGTGCCGTTGGAATCAGAATTGGTCCATTTTGAAACGAAATATGACGATGCGACGCGGATCCCGGCGCACTACAGCGCACTATGGCGCAATTCGCTGCTCTCTAGTGGACTGCGGCGGAGTACGGCGGAGTGCACTTTTTTGACGAATTATGAGCGGTATTGTATGCAAGTGACAAATGATTTCCGTAAAGTGTGCAGATAGATGATGGACGTTAGGTTCTCCTTTACTACACAGTGATTACAAATGCTTGCCTATAGAATAATGAACATGTCCCAGGGTAAGCACGCATCCGTCATGTCAGTGCAGAAACAAGGGGGAAGTAATCCTATTTTTTTCGGCCAAATATGATTTATGGAGATATATTGAATATTTGGCGAATCGCAACCAACTGCCATCAGAAATCAATTTATCTTCTCATTCGTACTCAAAAAGTTGACGTGGAGTCATTAGCGATGCAGAACCAGACAGTCTTGCAGCAAATCCACCAAATTCCATCTTGATTCCTAGAAATCAGTGCCACGCCCATGATCCGATTGTGATATATGATTGTATATAACAAGAATATAAAGTTGTCAACACGAGATATCTAACAAGGAAGGGTGCCTAACGTAGCACATCCGTCTAGAAACAGACTTACATGCTCTGAATTAGCTTCAAACGCTTATCTAAATATGCTATTTTTAACAGCGGCGCATCGTCTGAAACGAAATTTGCGTACTCATCAACTTACTGGCATCAGACATCATTCATCGAAGTGTTGTTACATCGTTGATTTCTTGTGCGTGAGAAAAGAAAAGTTAAACAAAAGATTCGATCTGTCATCTCAACATCTCAACACCCCTTTACGGCATAGGTGCGATAAGCTGAGAATGACTTCTCCAGAGTGAAGGGGGTCACAGCGGTCGCAGCCCCTCCGGGTGAAGGATGTTCCACTTGGTAAAGAAGTTATGAAATGTCGACCGGAAAGGAAGAGCATAGTGTTCCCTCATCCTTTTTCCTTGCCAAAGTTTATAATTTTCAATTCCTTGCCATCACTGGTTGTTTTTTTTTTCTAAAATATGAAACGATGTGCTGCTAGACTAGCACATAATTATGTTTCTGACCAGCACCTTGTATTTTTTTACATTTTTTTCTTTTTCTACATCACCCTGCCTGTTGAAATCACCATAGAAGATGTGCATGCGAGAATATTTGTCTCGGGAAGAGTAGACAATTTTTAAGCATTTACAAATTTTCTGAAAGAAGAAATTCGTAATTTCTGTAAATGAATAGCAACGTCAGCAAAGGAAATCTTTTTGAAACTGCCTCGGCCTCCGCTTTCAGAAATTATATACTTTGCCTGGGGTCCACTAAAAAAGTGCCTGGTGAAGGGTGTGCTTAATGATTTCTATATATTTTCGAGTTTCATTTAAAAAATTCATAAGTTTTGCGGATGAACAGATAGTGCACGGAAATGGTCACCCTCGGAACCGCCTCGCTTCCCGCTTTCAGAAAATATGACTTTCCTTGGGGTCCACTAAAAAAGTGCCTGGGTGAAGTCCCTAGTGATTTTTAGAGACTTTCGAGTTTTTAACATAAAAAATTCATAACTTTTGTAGATGAACATTTTGTACGCCGAGATAGTCACCATTGGAACAGTCTCGTCCTCCGCTTTCAGTTAATATATACTTTGCCTGGGATCCGTTTAAAAAAGTGCCGGGTGAAGGGTGGGTGAGACTTTTATAATGGGAGTGCTCAAGTAGATGTCTTTTCACAATGGAAAAAATCCTCCACTTGAGCACTCCCATTATAAAAGTCTCACCCACCCTTCACCCGGCACTTTTTGCAATGAACCCAGGCAAAGTATATATTTTCTGGAAGCGGAGGACGAGACGGTTTCAATGATGACTATCTCCATGTGCTATCTGTTCATCTACAAAAGTTATAAAAAATTTTATGTTAAAAATCCGAAAATTTCCAAAAAAATCACTAGGCACATCCTTCACCCAGGCACTTTTTTGAATGGATTTCAGACACGCTATATATTTTTTGAAAGCAAAGGACGAGACGGCTCCAATGGTGACTATTTCCGCATACCAGCTATTCATCTACAAAATTTATGAATTTTTTTATGTTGAAAACTCGTAAGTGTCCAGAAATCACTGGGCACACCTTTCACTAAGTACTTCTATGAACGGTCTCTCAAACTATTTATTCCCTGAAAACAGAGGGAGACGTTGTTCCACGGAACTTTCCTCGCTGATGTTGCTGTGCAACTATGAAAGCTACTATTTTCTTCCTTCTGGAATTTCGTGAATGCCTATGATTCTCTTTCCTCCTTTCTGATACACAAACAATTCCTGTACAAATACCTACTTTGCTTAACCTTACCTCACTGTTGATTTCTTCTCGGCTTTTGGTGAAGGGGTCACCTTGGTCCCGGTTCATGGATGAAAGGGGGTGAGCAAATTCTCACACTATCGCACCTATGCTTTACGGACGGATTTTTACCGTAAGAGCAGTCTTCCTATGTTGATATGCAAAATAACACACACTAAAATATTTATGACCCGCTTCAAAATGGAGTAGGAAGTCGCAGGTAGGAGTAAGATATTTGGAATCAGCGTTTCAGGCTGACTCGTAATATAAATGTCCCTTCTCAAAAGGTCAAGCTAAGTTAGGTGCTTTCCCATACAAATTTGGAAGCAGAATGTTTCAGCTCTCGAAGTTTGAGAATGAAAACATAGCACCCTGGGAAATCAGGGAAGAGAAACTCAGTGTTTGCTTTGTCTTTGTTAGACTATAGAGCTCTGATAAATTCGCTGAGGTACCGTTGTTCCAGATGTGACAATTTAAGTTATTGCAAATGATAACTTCTCGCCTGAGCGATGCAATGCTTCAAAAAGTTCCAGGTCCATTTCAAGTTTCAAACCTAAATTATTAGGTTGGAAAGAAAGTTCTCGGACATTGCATTTCGACCAAGCTTTTATGTTGATGTAAACACTGAATGGGGCATTCCGCATACCATTGGGAGGAGGAAAACAATCTCTTCAAAGTCTGTTAAGTATACAAGCATTATCAATGCTTTCAATGAAAATTCAAACAAAAATTGGAAAGCATCGGATTTTGACACAACTCAGATCTACTACTTCTATAAACGTAATGGAACCCCCACACGCTTCTATCAATAGTGTACACACTAACACTAATACTTACACACTAACATGCACAGATTGTACGGAAGCTGCGCTTAAGCAACAAGAAAACGAGGTGGTTGAAATGTGGCAAACTCGGCCCCCCCCCCATTGATCATAGACTCCTCCCACTTGCTTATACAGGGTGTCCCAAAAAAATGTGCCTACTGTTTGATCGTAAATAACTCTCTTGTAATGAAGTGTTTCGAGAAGCTTTAGGTACCGCTTTGTAGAGCGAGGTTAAGATTAGATCTACAGCATGGAGAGAATCATCTATCGCTCTTCATTACTGTAGGATCGTGGCACGAACTTCGACAAGGATTTTAGCCATCGGAGGCTATATTCTGCCTCGGAACTAAACCAAACAAGCCAAAAACTCTTATACTACGGTAACGGGAGCTGATGATTTCGAATCTGAAATATCGATTTTACTGTAATGCTTCTTTCCTAAGTTATCTCCGGTAAATCTTAATAACTCAATTCCCAGCATTTGTCAGAAATGTAATTACACCGTTAAAAAAGTTGAAAACACAAGTTTAAAAAGTTGTTAGATGAAATCAGCATGCGCGAAAACCCTAGTACACGATTTTTCAGATTTTTTTGAAAAAATTTTTGTTAGATAGTATATTTCACAATGGTTTCATATGCTGGAAGTTCTTACCGGAATCCTACAGTAATGAAGAGCGATCGATGATTCTCTCCATACTGTAAATCTAATCTTAACCTCGCTCTACAAAACGGTACCTAAAGCTTCTCGGAACACTTCATTACAAGAGAGTTATTTACAATCAAACAGTAGGCACATTTTTTTGGGACACCTTGTATATTGGCTACATGCTAGTGGAAGTACAGCTACATATTTTCACTCATATGCATGCATTAGATTTCGAGAAATAGCAGGTTTAGCTTGAAAATGTCCGAAAACTTTCTCACCAACCTAATATCAATAATCTGGTATTTGATGCATCACAGCTGTAAACGTACCACAAATTTAGTTTAATATCTCGATAATTATTTATATGTATATTAGGTTGTAACAGAATTAATGCAGGTTTTTCACACCCTTTTTTCAAAGTGCTGGTTCAAAATAGAATTCCATCGTATCAGAAAAGTAAGCATATCAACTGAAAGCCCTCTTCTCCTAGTTTCTTGAATATGCTTCCATTTCGAAAGGACTTGATTCATCTCGAAGTTACGTTCTTTTGAAATCAAGAGGCTAAACTCTGAAATTTTCTCTTTTGAAGTTTTTGCGTTAAATTCACCGCTAAAAAT